CCAGGGCGTTGCACTCTCAAATAATATGGGTCATTATTGAGGGCCCTACATTAGTCCTCACTCGTTGCAAGGTCTGTTGTTGGAAACGGTGGAGCCAACAATTCAGCTTCGCGGCAGTCACCTTCCTCCCGTTGTTCAAGTTTGTCTCGTATCCGCCGTCCACATGCTTCTTGTAGTAGGCATCCTGATGGACGGACTTGATTGCGGGGCCGACGCGGCAGAGTGGGGATGTGTTACACCTAAACCCCTAACCCCTAAACCCCTAAACCCCTAAACCCCAGACCTTAAACCCTGAACACTAAACCAAGACCCGGCCTGCCAGAAAGACAACCCAGCCAACCTCAACCAGTCTGGGCTTAAAGGGGTTTGGGCTTCGGGTTTGGGGTTTGGGGTTTAGGGTTTAGGGTGGGTTCAGGGTTTAGGGTGTAGGGCTTATCGGGCTTTTCGCGCCTGGTTCAGGGTTTAGGGTAGAGGGCTAAGAGGGGGCTTCCCGGGTTTCTACCTAGGGCTGGTAGGGCCTATAGGTTACAGGGCTTCAGGCGAGATAATCAATACTAACACAAGTAAAAGAACCCTCCCCCCCCTTCCGCTCTCCTTTGGGAAGCAGCCCAAGTGGAATGATGCAGAGGCCTGAAGGTACAAACCTCGGCAGCTCGGCTTCGGGTCTCTAGGGTTTGGGGTTTTAGGATTTAGGGTTGAGGGTTTAAGGTGTTCTTAAGGAACACCCCTGCAGGGCTGTTGAGGTGTATTTCCCCTAAGTCGGGTTTTGGTTTAGGGTTTAGGGTTGAGGGTTTGGGGTTTAGGGTTGAGGGTTTGGGGTTGAGGGTTTGGGGTTGAGGGTTTAGGATTTAAGATACATCTTGCTACTAGCGTTTATGGTACCAGGCCTTGGGTGCACATTTTGGGGGGTTCGTTCTAGGGCTTTGGGTTCAGGTCTAGTCCTCCTAAACCCCTAAAACCCTAAACCCTAAACCCCTCAAACCCTAAACCCTAAATCCTAAACCCCTAAAGCCCTACACCCGAAACCCCTAGGACCGGAAACCCTACACCCTAAACCTAAACCCCTAAAACCCTAAACTCTAAACCCCTAAACCTAAAACCCTAAACCCTAAACCCTAAACCCCTCTAAAACCCTAAACCCTAAACCCCTAAACCTCTAAACCCCTAAAACCCTAAACCCTAGACCCTAAACCCCTAATCCTCTAAACCCTAAACTCCTAACCCCTAAACCCCTAAACCCTAAACCCCAAGGACCCAGCAGCGGTCAGGATCGCGTGTTGAGTTTCACTCCTTTCCTTCGGTCCGAGACGAGGGCGTCGCTTGAAGGATCGTGAGCGATGTGCCACAGGAGGATCAAACCTAGAAGACGTAGAAGTTGCATGGCGAACCCTAAACCCTAAACCCCGCCGATGAAAGACTTAGAGCCCTACTTTCCACAATAACATCGGAACCTGACTAAGAAACCCTGGGGGCTTTATTAGGGTTCTGAGTACGATCCCGAATATATCAGAGCTATAGGGGAAGGGTTTCTTAACCCGGTTCCTACATGACCCGTCCCTAAACCCTAACCCTAAACCCCAAACCTGAAACCCTACACCTGCCAGCGCGGGTTGAGGTGGCCAGGGCACTGAGAGGAGCTCTTGCTTCCTGTAACAGCCAGAGGTGTCCGCAGTGCGTGATGTTATTTAGGTTTAGGGATTAGGGGCTTAGAGTTTGGAGTCAAGAATTTCTTGGAGTTTCTGTTTAAGAATAGCCTGGAGCTACCACTCTCGTGGGGGCATCCCCGCAGGAAGGATGACATCTGGATTTAGGACCTCAATCCCGAAGCTCGGCCGAAGCCCGTTGCCCCTTAAGTTCGAGAACCCCAAAACTTGAACCCACACAGTGTGACGACCTAAATCACCTTTGCCCGAGCAGCTGCACTTCTTGTTCAGCTCGAAAGGGATGGAGATCATCCTAGGTTCAACAGCAACCTCTTCAGAAAAAGGAATCTGTTGTCTCCTATTGTTTAGCGCACAATGCCAGTACTGGGAGGCCATTATACAGTCATTAGACTCGCATGCATAACCACAAAGGGACATTCCTACAGCGTGTCTGCAGGGGCGCACTACAGAGAAGCAGTGCAGATCAACCAACCTCCCTTAATAAGGATCCAACAACTTTATTTCGGTCAATGGGGTTCGACATCACTGCACAAAACCCGGAAAGCCCTTCCACAACCCTTGCAACACTGTTGTTTCTATGATCATGATTATTGTGATTAGTCTGGTAATTGCCGATACCCTAAACCCTACTCTTATTTGTAAATGTTTCTACCCTTCGAAGCCGAGCTTCTTCTTGAAGAGCTCGAGGAGTCCGGGCTGCTTCTCTCGGTCCAGTCCTCCCGGACAACACCCAAAGGGTTCAGGGTTTCATGCTTTCGGTTTTAGGGTTTAGGGTTTCGGGTTTCATGTTTTAGGTTTTAGGGTTTAGGGTTCAGGGTTTCATGTTTTGGGGCTGAGGGTTCAGGCTTTAGGGCTTAGGTGTAGGGTTTAGTGTTTGGGGTTTAGGGTTCAGGGTCAGGCTTTCAGCCTCTGGGGCTTAGAGTTTGCCGCTATTTCCAGAGTCCCTCATAACCTAGGAATCCAAAGGCTCCCTGTTGGGTAAAGGGTAGTCTTCAGAAGGAACCGAAGACCACACAAACCCTAAACCCGAGACCCTAAGCCCTAAACCCTAAACCCGAAACCCTGCACCCTAAACCCGAAACCGCAAACCCTAAGCCCTAAACCCCACAAAGGGGAAAAGGGGTCTCTGGGAGACCGAGAATCAGCAGCTAAGAGGATCTATGGGGTCCCTCGCCTTCGGGGAAAGACGGGTTTCAGAGGGACTTCGTAAGTTGTTATTGTTTGGTGAAGGGAGTTTTTGTGGAAGTTTTTGCGTACGGGCTTCCTTCTCTATGGCATTTTCGGTGTGGTTTCGAGTTTTGAAGGTGTTAAATGGAGCTCAATATCCCTTAGATACCCCTCCACCCCTTGTAGTGTAAGACCACCCCTCGGACTCTCGGGCACCCTGGGAGAGAGAGTTGAAAGCCACGTGAGCCTCTGTCTAGACCGGAACCGCTTCAGAAGGGTTTAGGGTTTGGGGTCGGACTGGTCATGGTGGTCCCAAGAGTAGTGCTGGTGAACGGGATAGCTTACTTGGAGGTTCATGGGTAGTTATAAGTGGGGTTACAAGTAGAGTAACTATGATTGTAACCCTAATCAGGGAACTTATAACCCCACTTATAACTACCCACAACCTCCAAGTAGGGTCTGACATTGAGGATGAGTGCGGGTAATGCTGCTCGAATGGCAAACTCCCATGGAAACCCTAGACTTCGAACCCTTTTGAAGCCGAAACTCCCCCCAGTCCTAAGTCCTAAACCCTAAGATCGTTAAGTCCCTAAAGACCTAGAAATCCCAAACCCCAAGATCCCAAAAACCCC